TAGGAAGAAAATTAACTCTATCCCAGCCAAAGCCAGGACAACAGCTTAACTTGTTCTATAATTGTGCAGAGTAACCCATAGCACTGTATTGCAGATTGTCTTTCAGTGAATTTTTGCATCTCCTTCTGAAGAAGGAGACAGGGTTTAGCTATGCAGAAGTGATCCAGGCTAATTCTTCCAGCTATCTCTATATAATGACTTGCTTTTAATTAACATGATAATGTCTTTGTGCAGCTAATAGAACTCTTACTGTAAAGTGAGCTCTCAGGAGGGTGGTGCAGGATAGTCACTGTCATGTCATTCAGTCATCAAAATAATTTTCATTCATAGCATAGACAAGTTTTAAGTACTGTCAAGACTGATTTAGATCCAGCTATTTAAACCTACAGTCCAACTGCTGGTGTATGTCTGCAAAATAGTGCTTTTTATGTGGAGAAGAAGCAAACAAGGCTGACTTACACAGTTTCTTAGTTTCAGCATGTACTTCAGAGGCAGGTACTCTTAAGGGTCAGGATTCTGCTCTGTGCAGAGGATCCAAACTTAAAAGGAGCCAGAAGGTACTAGGAAGGCTATTCTGTCTGAACTGGCCACATTATGGACTAACAGGACAGGTGAGATTAAATGTCTGTGCATGGGGGGGCTGCAGATAGACTCCCAGCAACGAACTTGGATTCTCTAAAGTTACTCTGTATTTCAGAAACCCTATTCCTCCCTCCTGTTGAATTGTTTTGAGAATAATGTTCCATAAATCCAGCCTGAGTGGATCTCTGAGTTTGTGGAAGCCTTGGGAAGAATTAATTGCTTTCATACTGGGAAGCTAACTTAGGAGAGACTACTTTATGTCCTGGGGAACGGCCTTACCCTGAGCATGCTGTAATCCTGGAACTAGAAACAGTGGCAGAACACTGTTCATGTTTCTTGAGTTCATAGCAGGCCACAGAATGGAATTTTTTTTATTCAGGTATCTTACTGCTTGTATTTTTTCTGGAAGAATGTTGACTGTGTTGTTGGACATGGAAACATATTTACCAATAAATGATAAAAGATAACATGATTTAGAGCCTGTCTTCTGTTTGCAAAATAAGTAATAAAGTTTCTTTGCTAGAAAGCAGCTTAATAGGCAAACAATCAAAAAGCCACAACAGCGTCTCCCCCAGCCTCTTAGACAGGTGATCATCTCTGTAAAGCATTGCTTATGAAAATAATTCCACTGATACCGGAGGGTTTTAGGCTTTTAGTAGGTTCAGCTGCATGCAAGTACTTTACTGAGTAGGTGTGTATATGCTGTATGAAACATATTCTTCAGTTACTGGAAACATCATCATGAGCTTTCTTATTAGAAACACAACAGAGGTAATGATAGCATTTGTGAAGATTTTATTTATGCTGTATTAATCAGTGCAGGGAGGCAATTTGGCTTGCCAGGTTTACATCATATTCCCTTGCTGCAAGAGGGCAATGACCAATAACAAACTACGAAAGTTAAAGATTGTGGGATTTGTTATTAACAGTTTTATATTAACATTGATTGTCTTAATTCTGATAAAACATACTGTTCAACGGTATTAGTCTAACACAGTTCTCCAAGCAAATATATATCATCAAAATAACTGTAAATGGTAGAAGTTTGTAGCTGTCACATTACTGGTTTTGTCTTTAACATTTCAAACCACATGGTGGCGCGTTTGACAAAAGCAAGCACAGTTTTGAAGCGCAGTAACTATAATGATATGGGGGAGAAGAGGATTCAGTAGAGGTTATGATGCTTAACTTGTACTTAAAGTCTGGAATAACGTTACATTCTCAAGTATGTGAACTAATTTCTCTTCTACACAGACTAACCGTGAAGGCTTTGCAGGCTATTAGTCCTTCCCCAGAGTACTGAGGAATGTTCTGGTAGTTTATCCTGGCACGAAGTCAGGACACAGCCGGCATGGACTCAGAGACTTGGGCATTGAGGAGAACTCCCAAATCCTGAATTTTGGATGTAACAGAGATGATAAAACACTGAGTCTGTATAAGTGTTAGAAGGGGAAACAATGTCTTTAGCCTCATCCTGCAGTCATAGGCGGAGTATAACGGAGTAAATAATTACTAAGTGAATTATTTATTTTCACTACATGAATAAAATAATTACCTCTCTTCTAAGAGGCAGCATGGGTAAAGAGTGCTATTTTAGATGCAAATGATGGAATGGAAACGTTCAGAGCTGAACCTATTAAATTCAAATTGAAAATGATCTTTCGACTCAGCTTCAGTTATGGAAGTCTTTATTATGCACATTCAAGTTCAAAGGCTAGACTTATAGTCGTTAAAGAAAAGGACTTTTAAATTAGATAAGTACTTCGTGGCATTTTGCTCCGGAAGTAGGCATTTGCAGTGCATGACTGTTTTGCAGACTAATACTTTCAGCCATAGGCTGAAAGTTGAATTTCTTTGACAGTAACACAAACAACTGGAATGTATGTTAAATAAAGACTCTCTAAGATGGGCTCATTTTTTAAAAGAAAGTTAACTTTAATGCTATCAAGAGTGTTACAGCAAAGAATTTGTATCAGTATAGCTGTGTAGATACAATAGCACGCAAATGTTAACTCTCTTACAAAGTTCAGCAGTGATAAAGTGTGAAAGTGGATGTCAGCATGGTTATGAAATGGGCAGCACAAGTTGTAACTATTCCTTTGTGCTTGTAGAGCGAAATAATTCGAGATAATCCTGGTATCCTGGACTGTGTGAAAGAAGGAATCGGCAGAGTTGTCGGCATGGGAGTACCTCATAGCAAGCGTCTCCTTCCTCTGATGGTCTTGACTTTTCCAACTGCGCTACATGGAGTTCTTCACTATGTCATCAGTTCCATCATCCAGAAGCTTGTTTTGTTTGTTCTGAAAAGGGATAATTCGCACAACCTTCCAACTGAGAGCTCCACTTCTGTGCAGAGCATGCTGGATGCGTATTTTCCAGAACTTATTGCTAGCTTTGCTGCTAGCCTTTGTGCTGATGTCATGCTTTACCCACTGGAGACAGTTTTACACCGCCTTCATATTCAAGGGACACGCACAATAATTGACAATACAGACCTTGGCTATGAAGTGCTTCCAATCAATACTCAATATGAGGGTATGAGAGACTGCATAAATACTATAAAACGGGAAGAAGGAATGCTAGGTTTTTATAAAGGATTTGGAGCTGTTATAGTACAGTATACCTTGCATGTGGCAGTTTTACAGCTTACCAAAATTATTTACTCAACACTGCTTCAGAATGTTTCTTAATCTGTGTGGATTTAGCACAGTGGACATGATTGACTTTACTAACCTAATTATTGTTTAAAAATGACTTAGAAAATGAAGTTTGAAGAACCCACTCTGTGGATTCTCCTTACACTGTAAAAGAACTTGTTTTAAAAATGGGGATATAGCTTCCTAAGTGTAATTAAAAAAGTACTGTTTAAACTTATAGACACAAATTGAATATATAATGTACAGTCATACAGAAGGGAATTGGATTTCAGACGTGGTTGGGGTGAGGATTTACCTTTCCTCTTACTAGTTAACTAACTTAAGGAATGGATATGAATTCTTAATATCTGCTTTATAAACATCACATCTGATATTTAATTTGGACTGCTAGCCAGTTCAAAGGAATTTATTTTCATAGGTTGTAAGAACTTGCAAGTGGGAGACTGAAGAGTTTACTGGTCTTTTAAAAATGTTTTCAACTTCACTGTTAATGGAGCTGTGAGCAAAATAGAAACTGTAAAAGTAACTTAAGTAGACATAAGTGTCATAATTTACAGGTACATAGAAGACTTCTTACTTTGCAGTGTGGCAGAAGACAACAAAGAGGAATCTTTTGCTTTGTACAAAGTAACAAAAACTTGGGTTTGGGCAAAGTTGCACAGAATGCAGATTTGGCTGTCTTGCAGTTTGTTTGCAAGGCTGACAGTAACTAAAGTGTGTGAATAAAGCAAATTAGAAACTGATGTGTGCATGTGTAAGTGCCATTTTCAGTCGACTTTCCACTCAACGTCAAGGTTTAGTTTTACTCTGCTACTTCATATAAGTAGAATAATCTTACAAACGTACGTAGTCTCAGTGTTCAAAGTGTATAGAAAGTGTAAAAAATTAATTGGCTATTTCTAGAGTTACTTTTTTGTTAGATGAGAGAGGTATGTACACAATTACCTACTTACTATTTAGCACTGATGTTCTTCATTTAAAGTCTCTGCTGGATTAGATATTTTGTGGAGCAGAATTAAATCTGTTTATGTGCAAGCAAACTACTGAAATGTACTGTTTTTACCCTCTTCCCCTAGTAAATCAAGACTTTCAGTCTGAAAATGAGTTCTGATCATTCTAAGTAACTTAAGTCCTTCTCGGTTTCATCAGTAAATATCATGAAAGTTGAGGGGGAATGATTTTTAGCAAATAAAACAAGCATGTGGAGAGTTGCTTTTAAATTATATGAGAGGCTGCTGCCTTTTTCACACTTTCATGTGGCAAGTCTATCTTTGTGAATACTGTAAATTGATGTGCATTTTAATCATTAGGCATTGTGAGTAGTTATCACTTACGGAAAGTAGTCATGGAAAAATAATGAAAGGTGTTGCTGTTCGTAAGTTCTGACTTTAAATCATTTGCAGGTCTACTTTGCTGTTATTAGTCTAACTTTCATGTATTTTTAAATGTGTAAGTGTTGGAAAGTATAGTGAATTTGGGAACTGGTTTTATTTTGAAATACTGTTAATTGCAAATTTAGTGTATAGAATGGAAGCAATGAAATAAAATGAGAATTCACTGTAAAGATTTTGAAGTAATTCACTGAAGAGGCATGTAAAAGAATCCAAATTTGTGTGTTATATTTTACTGTATAGACTTTAGAGTGGCTTTTTCAAGTTTCTCAACTTTCCTAAGTGGAAGAACATGTTGAATTAAACTATGTGCAAGAAGTTGGGTAAAATGTTCAATTCCTCGCTTATATTTTTAAAGTTTCCATGAGTATGAAGTGAGCCATATCAGAGAATAATCCAGACTGGAAAGGATCTCAACAGGTTGTGTAGTTCAAATTTCTGCTCTAACCAAGGACAGCATTGACTTCAGACCAGATTGTGCAGATCCTTGTCCAGTCAAGCCTTTAATTCCAACTTTTAATACATAAAACCGGCCTTTTCAAAGGTGCCAAATTCAACTGAAGCCAACTATTCTGTCACAGTTGCCTTGAAACAGTAACTAAGTGCGTGCTAGAGACCAACACTTGCAGTTGTATCAGTGAAATTGGGCAATAATGTTTTTCTAGGAATAAAATTTTCGGGAAGGCATTTTGTGATACAAAATGGAGGACGTGTCTTTATATATTCTGCAAGAGGGAAGATAGTGAGTTCTCAGAACAACACTAGGTGTTGTGCTAGAATATTAACTTGTGTCAAACACTCTTT